TAAGTGCAAGAAAGCTCCTGGCAGCACAAATGCCACTCTGCTTCGCAGCAAACATATTGTTATAGTCTGAGCCTCACGTCTGAGCCTGTTACAAAGAAGACACTGAAGACCTTCTCCTGTGGAGGAACCTTTATTATGGTTCTTTCTTTCTTTTTCTTTTTATTACAGCTCATAAGAGGATCCGACATCTGGTCTGGTCTTTGAACCCATCGAACTTTTCATCTTACTTCTAGGCAATCAGTGATTATTATTTCTGGTGTGATTTTAAATGTGATAACAATTCTGAAGCTAAATTATCATCAACAGCAAATGAACGAAAATGCACGCAAAAGACATCATCTTGACTTTGAGTTCGCACTAGCTGCAACAGTCGACACATTTGTAACAAATAATGGCAACAGTCTGCTCTAATGATGTAGGCTTCCCTCATAACACACACACACAGAAGGACAGATACATCTAGAAGGGTATCAAGCCCTGCATGTTGATCAGACAGTGCCTCTCTAATTGAGCTAATCCCCACTTCAGGATCAGTGCTTTCCCCTGAGGTCTGACCCTCCACCCGGCCTCTCCCCTGCTCTCACTGTCTGAGGTCTTAGCTTAAACCTCCCGTCCCCTCTGTGGCTCATGTGGACTGTAAAGCTGTTTATTGGGAGACAATGGGCAGCAGATTGTGCTGTCAGGCTCCATTAATTACCATCATTAGCATCACATTCAATAGTCTGCGGGACCAAGGTCCTAAACCCTAAACTCTGTGTACAGCTTTGTGTGTGTGTGTGTCTGTGTGTGCGTGTGCGTGTGTGTGCTGATTCTCATCTGTCACATCACATTTATTAGAGTTTATTGAATGTTGAAGTTATAGCTTTAAGGCAACGGTGTCATTTACTTGTAATGGGAAATTCTTATTTTAAAAAAATCACCTAAATGCTGATGTAAAGCTTGGTAAAATAAAAGTTCAGAACAAATCAAAAGTGATGAGTGAGTGAGGCTGAGTAAAAATATGTTTTTGGATACTCAAAACAAGCTCAAATATTTGGCTTTTACAAGTCAAATTGTATCATTGTGTATTTAGAAACAACTAATCCTTGGTACATTAGATGTTTGCTTATCATGTAAGAGCTGTATTTTATGCAAATATAATAAAAAATAGCATGTATATCTTTATTATTATGATGATCTAATATAGTACTGCCCACTGTCACTGTTCTCAGAACTTATACAACTAATAGAGCCAAAATGTGACTATGTGGGTAATTAGTCGCTATTGACTGGATTAAAAGCTGATATTGTCTGAGACGTACAGTAGGAAGGCAGCGACAGAGAACAAACTTAATAAGCAGTGTTGAGGAAGTTGACTTTGGAGAGTGATTGAAGTACAAAGACTGTGAACAAAAAACAAAAACCAACTCTTTATGATCCATTTGTCCTTTAGTGCCAGGTAATCAATGGTCATCTATAATTGACCACTGACCACCATTGGTATTTCCACCTCCAACAGCGGAGCTCTTAAAGGAAATTGAACTATGTTTCTGCCACGCACCCACCAAGGCAGAAGCCTTGTCAGTCCAGCTTCCTGCCTGATCAATGTGAGAGACAATGACTCAACAGGTGCGACAGACAGGAACTCAGCAGCAGCTTTCCTCCCCGCCGCTAGGCCCAATTAGCACATGTGGCTACGGAACAAAGAGGCGACATTTCGTTTCCGTAGAGTGCCAGTTTAAGACCTCTCCTCTCCACCTCGGCCTCTTTTCTTTCTGTCTCTTACTGCTGACATCTTTAAAGGATCATCCCAGGCTCCATCATATTCTATTAGATTGGGTCAATACCTTGTGTTCAACGTGGTATGGGGTGTTAAAAACATGGGGTGTTGATGAATTCATTGCATGTGACTAGACTTGCTTTCTTTATGGGGTAGTGTTGGCTAATGAAACCCCCCGCTGGCTGGACAAATGTGAAAGACATTTTGGTTTTCACTCCAGGTCCAGACTGACTGACCTGGAGTGACATCCTTAGAATTAGAAAAAGAAATAAGGCAATTATTAATTTATTACGTGCCTGGTGTGTTAATAGTTTTATTAACTCTAATACTCTCTGTGAATAGACTTAGTCTACCTAGCTATGATTCGAATAAAAAAAATGCAAATGCTTTTATTAATTTATTTATTTATAGCTACTACTCCAGTCGTTGCTAAATTTCGGAGGTTTCCTTCTATGGTGAAACAATGCATCAAAAATGTAAATTGAAAACATAAATGAGCAACTGATGATTTTACTTTATTCACATGCAATGACCAACCATTTAGTTGTGATTTTGACCAAGATAGTGAATTAGTACAAATACACATCGTGGGGACAGATTTTAAGAATAGTTGCTGTGTTAACCATTAATATATATTTTTTATTACTCTTTCCTAGATTTCTCAAACGTCCTTTTGTAAGAACCTAAACCACACATACACAAAATGCAGGTAGTATATATTCTACCAATAACCTCTACTTCTGTAATTCATTTAAATTATCATATGGTAATAAAAATAGTAAATCATTATTTCAGTACAATCAAAGGTAATGTTTTTATTTCTGTCAAATGTGTGCCTTGATCCAACACATTATGCCTTTAAATAAAAAGCCCATCTTCCTGAAATGTGGTTTACCCGGGATGTTTTTGTACTCACAACATTCGTTCTCTTCCATGTTTTAAAACAATTGATGGCGATGAAATTTCACCACAATATAAAATGTTACCACTAGATGTCGCTCATACATTTTGTAGACGTCTCTGCCCAGTTTCTAGGAGCGAAGGCAGCCCAGTATTATTTACGTTAAAAACAGGCGCATGCGCACGTGTTCGTTGTTGTTTGCAGTAGGAAAGAACAAGACATGCGGAAGCATCTGATGTGGTTCTTCTGACGTTAACTGTCAATGTTTCTTTATCATAACGCAAATTCGTCCACGAGGACACTCGTCCAGCATTGTAGATAATCTTATGTTTGTCTCAGAAGAAAGACGTTACCGTTTTGTGTGAATCGGTGAAGCAACCAAGAAGTGATCGAGCAACGTAGTCACTGCTACTGTGCAACCGTATGTTATGAAAGCACTTGTCGCTAGTCTTAGCAAAGCAACCGGGCTTTTTACTCTCCTGGCTGTTTTTACTGCATTGCTTTTGAATTATTTAGACGACCCTGACCCGGCTGCATACACGCACAGGTAAATATGGGGTCTCTCTGTATGCTGTGGAATGATTCTATGTAGGCCGACGTTAGCATAGGTCAAATATATACGTAGAGAGAAGCAATAAAACTGACAGTAACGATAAAGGTCTAAGTCCTGCGGAAATAATTATAATTATAATCGGACAAACGTTCAACATGAAATTCTATAATGTTAAGATTATCCTCGTTTTAAAAAAATCCCCATGGTGTAAAACATCGTGTCACATATTTTGGTATACCATGATTTACAGTTGTACTCATAGTAAACTATACTACTTTCCTCAAGGGTGTTTCACAGGTTTTGAATGCGTTGTGATTTAATGCTGACTTGCATTAGAGACGTTTTGGTTTTCCTGATGCTGTTTATGCCCCTGTGAAAAGTGTTGTATGTAAGATTATTTACCTGGAAACCTGATTAAACTGTAAGAAATACTAAGATAATCACCTGTGAAAAACATGTAGGGTTTAATATTTGTTCATTCTCTACTTTGCTTCACTGTGTATATTTACATGTTTTATTGTACTGTTTTAGTCCAGTTTATTTCTCATTATTTCATTTCATTTCTCTCTCCTTCTCCTACTGTTCACAGCATGGCCGAGGACCTGAAAACCCAGGAGGAAAATTTCAGACAGCAGAACAAGAGCTGTTTTGTTCTTGGTGCTTCTGGAGAAAGTGGCCAAATGTTACTGAAGGAGCTGCTTCACCGCAACATCTTTTCTAAAATCACCCTCATCGGGAGGAGACAGCTGAGCTTTGAGGATAAAGCTCATGAAAACCTGGTGAGTTGTGCAGTGTTTCTTTTTTGAATTAGACAGCCTCATTAATAACTGTCTACGTTGTCACTGATTAACCAGGCTAACACTGTTCCTTCTCTTGCTCCTCCAGGTACAGGAGGTGGTGGACTTTGAGAAGCTTGATGATTATGCTGCTGCCTTTCAGGGCCATGATGTTGGTTACTGCTGCCTGGGAACGACGCGGGCCAAAGCAGGTGTTGTGAGTTGAACTCCTGACACCTCTTTTCTACTACTTTCTCTTCTATTTCTTCGGGTTAGGGTTGGGTTACAGTTCCTAGGTTGCCGTTACGAATCATCTGCCTCCATCTCACACTATCCACAGACTCAAGTGAAAATTATATTTATTCTTTTAAAAATTATATTCCTCTTTCCACAAAATGTTCTCAGTAAAGGATATACTATATACAGTATGTGCTGTCTAAATAAGCTGAATTTAAAAAAAAATCCCAATTAATGGTAATTACACAAAAAGAGCAGTAAGGAACAGAGAACAAGTCTGAATAGTTAATCATTACATTTTAGTAGTAATATCTTACCTTATAAAGCTGTTAAAGCTGTATTTGTAAACATAATTGTCCTTTTTATGAGTATTTACAACATTTTATTATCTGTTAATGTTCAGGATGTTGTCTTTTTTGTCACTGTAATTTGATTAAATGTTTTGAATTACACATTTATGGATACACCTTGTGCTGAACAGTTTTATTTGTCATTATGGATGTAGAACACAATGAGATTACAGGTGGCCTTTCAAAGATGAAACACAGAAGATAAATGCATCCTCGTCAAAAACAAAACAATAAGTAGAGCTGTTATATTGCACTTAAAAGATATAATAAGAGTAATGGGAAGTACATTTTTTTTAAATACAGCAATGGGTATATCAATAGTAATTTCAAATGCCTGAAAAAACACACAATATAATGTTTTTTGTTTGTTTGTTTGTTTTTTCAGGATGGATTTATCCGAGTGGATCATGATTATGTTCTAAAATCAGCAGAACTTGCAAAAGCTGGAGGATGTACACAGTTCCACCTGGAGTCCTCAAGAGGAGCTGATAAAAATAGCAACTTCCTTTACCTCAAAGTTAAGGTCATTATCTCTACTCTACACTTGTGTGTGTTTTAGATCTTGGAGGAAAACAACAGAGCAAAAACGCTGAAACATCAATCAAAATGAACATTTTCATTCCAGGGTCAAGTGGAAGCAGATATTGAAGCACTGGGCTTTGAGCGATATGCCATTTACAGACCAGGGTGAGTGTTTTTATTGACTATATTCAAAGTTCACAATTTAATGACCTCAGTTGAATCTCAGACCATGTGTTATGATCACGTTTTATGATACTGATGTACAAATGACATCAGTATCATAAGCATTTACAATATCCCACTGAAAACTCTGTGGTCATATGGAAAATTTAATATAGAAAATACAGAACATATTTTTATATATTTGAGGACTGTGAACCGTTTGCAGACCGATTAAGAATATCAAAATAAAAAGCCTGAAATGAGTGTGTGTGCCTGTCAACAGGGTTTTATTGGTGGATCGTCAGGAGAGTCGTCCAGCTGAGTGGCTGACCAGGAAGTTCTTTGGTGCAGTTTCTGCTGTGTGTTCCACATCCATGTCCATCCCCATTCAACTGGTGGCAAAAGCCATGGTGACAAACACTTTACGTCAACCTGAGCAGAAGACAGAGATACTGGAGAATAAAGCCATCACCATTTTGGGGAAAACCCTAGAGAAATAACTGAAACAAATGTTGCCTTATTTTCCCAAAGGAAACTATTTATTGATTGATAGTTAAATAACTGTCAATATCTGCATTTTTAGTTACCATAAAATAACAGTTTTTAATGATCATGGTTTTAGGTGTTTCACAAAGGCTTTGAGCTTCTAATGATCTGAATTCATATTTTGGGTTTTGTTTTTGTGGGACTTGGGCACTGAACAATGAAATAGATTTTATTTACTAGAAATACTTTTGTTTACAGGGAAAAATCAGATAAGCACTTATTACATCAGGATTTCTCAGGTCATTAAAGTTTGAATGTGTCATAAATAGGAGAGTGTCTCCGAATGTACTGCACGCACATGAAACATTAGTTAAATATGTTAACATGGACTTTGTTGTAACTAATAAAACATTTATATTGTCATCATGACACTGAACTGTAAGGCTTTTAGTAATTTAATTATTATTATTATTATTTTACCACTTCAATGAAAACTGGTTGTATTTTGAATATGAATATGTTCACATAATGGTCACATAATACGAAGCAAAAGAATATATGCCATATTACCAATAAAGTCTAACATAACTCCACTAACAATAAATCAATTCTATATTGAATTAATTATATCACTGTTAAATATGACATATTAATCATACAAATGTTTTTTAACACAGCTCAAAGTAAAATACTGATGTTATCAAATATTACCGTTCAGATCGAAAGGAAGGAGTTACATGATAAACTGAAGTATTTTGTTCCTCGTTTGTTCTTTGATGTTGTTGTTTTTTATAGGTAAAATATTAAATAAAAAAACTGTGAATTCCCCTTCACAAAGCATAATAAAGTTCAGATATATACATATAACTATTGGTTAGACAACAGCCCCCTCTTGTGACGAAACGTGGTTACAGACCGATGAAATTAAAATGCGACGGTTTTACCCGAGTAATGCACTGCACAATATATATACATATAAGTAAACTATCTATTGAAGGTATTTTTTTCCAAGTATATTTCTTTCCTGGATAATCATAAAAAATACTTTCTCTTTGGTATGCAGTTTAACAGTACAAACATGTTTACATTAAATTGAGAGTGCAAAAAAACTAAAAACACAGTCTTAAACCAATAAGTTAAATCCCCACCGTAATTAGCCACATTCACCTGTAACTACGCCCTTGGAAAACTGTCATTTATTTAATTTATTTTTTTTATTTTTTGCAACGGAGGAAGGTATGTGTAATATTTAACCAGTAGAGTCAACCCAATTATATAAAAACACTCGACCATACGGTACCCACGGTGGTGACAAACACAATCATATCACTGTATAGACAAGGAGCCAGAACTCCTTCCGTTTGAACGCTACAATTACCGACACTGAGCAATCATTCCAAACGTGGAGCAGCTGGAGTCATTAGCCACTCTGGAGCTACAAGTGCTGCGTGCATCATCTTTAACCTCAAACCTGTTCCAGCTGGTCACTCACTTGGTCTGGTCGTGGTATGGTGTTGTTGGCAAAAGCAGCACAATGAGCCTTACCAAATGTTTGAGGTATATATAAATAAATATATGAACAATTCAATTAATAATGTGTGGGAATTTTACAGAAACTCTAACCATTCTTTGCCCAGCAGGCTGCTTGTGATTTGCGTTTGTCTTCTGGCTTCTGTTGTAAACTGTGAGAATTCCCAGAAAGGTAATGTATCTGATTATTCTCTGATGTGAACAATTAGAGTAACTTTTTTAAATGATTCACTCTATAGAAATCCTTAAAGTTATAAAAATGGTTTTGTCTAATTATGATTTTCCTCAGTGGGAGTCCACAAAGACACAGATGACAAAACATTTCATGACCAGTCTGTTTTCACAGTAATTGGAAAGAAAAGGGACAACGTTCGGCAAACTTTCAAGCATCACCCTGTTCTCAACAAACCAGATGAGATGAGAAGGTTCAGCGCTGGAGTGAAAAAGGACCCCGAGGGCAAAGCTATCCCCTACTTTATGAAGAAAATTAAGCATAATCGTCCTAATCCTGTTTTATCAACTGGTGCAGGAAAATTTCCTAAGTATTCCCATCATACCAGAATCAGGTCGAGTAAAGGGTTTTCACCTATCCAGGTAGACCAACAAAGAAAGAGGAATGGTCTTTATTCCCATTGGAAGATACACAATGCCAACAGCCGTGGCATCAGTTCTCCTCATTCCTTCAGATCCAACAGAACGAACCCTTTGCCAAAGGCATTGAAATCGGTAAAAGATAGTACTGTTGGAGGACGGTCTTCTGGCAGCAGATCATCAGGAACATTGGTGGCTTGGAGTCCCAGGTTCTTGAATACTGAGGCAATGTCTGAAACAAAAGGTTACGCCCATGTGCGACACATTAAGCCTGGTTCAGAGAAACTGCAACATCAAGCTAGTTCACATGCTGGGATCAAGCTCATGGGACACCATGGCAGTCAGTCTGTGAGTGGGAATCACAACCATAATCCAGAACTGGGATCTGGTGCTCAGATATCAAGTGAACGCCACACAAACCATAATCTTGGAAAACCACCTTCTGGAAGCTTTAATGGCCGTTTACCAGTGAAGTCACAAGTCCCTGTTCAAGGCAAATTCAAACCCTTCCAGAGAGTGGATTCACATTTTGATCTCTCTAATCACACCCAGAAATTTGAAGAGACCACTGCTTTGCCTAGTTTGAACTCCACCGTTGGATCTTCAACAACAGTCTCTCCAGTTTCTCAGGAACTTGACACAAACTCAACGTCACCCACTCAGCCATTCGAACCATTGATTAGCCCAGAGGAACCGTCCAGCAATTCAACAGAAGCTGGCTCTTTGGATCAAAACAAGGAGTAAAGCCAAGCACTTCTGTTAATGTCTTATTTAGAAATGGTACAACCTCATCTGCCAAATTCTGCTTCAGTGAAGTAGAAAGTTGATAGAATCGTCTGGTAAAGCAATATCTACAAGCTGACCTCCAGAAAGCTTGAGTTTTGTTGTAAAGTAACTGGAAAAAATGTGATTTGAATGAATAAAGGAAAAAAACAAAACAAAATCCTGGCACCAATTGTCTTCATTTGATCCTGTTTAATCACAACGTTTCAGAATCACAATGTTTGAATAGTTCTCTTCAAAAATGTGAACTCTTTATTTTGTTTTTTTGGTAGCGATGCTTTATCAGCTGCTCCAAATCAGAACACAAGATTAAGTCAACTGTTGAGTGATGTTTAAAAATTGACAGACGTCTGTAGTGTACAATGTTCAGTTAATGTACAGCGTTGTGTTCGGTTTTAAAAGATTGTCTTTTCAAACATTTGTTTTTTTTTAAGAAAGTCGTATGTATTTTTACTTGCCTATTAATACCTTTAAGTAACAACGGTTCTACACTAATTAAATAAACGTTGGCGACATCTTGTGGTAAACACGACAAAGAGCAGTTTGGTAGCCGGCATTTGTAAGAGCCCCGCCTCTTCTTTTCGTCACTCAACGTCACCAGGAAGTCTATAGAGGCAAAAAGGCAACATGGCACAGTACACAGATCCACGTGAGTGTTGTAAATAAGAAATATACATTTTAACTGTAGAAAGCTGGAATTTCACATGAAGTCTTTGACACTTGCATTGTGATGGCAACCCCCCGTTGGTGTTTTTTGTTAAAACGATGTAGAATAACGTAGTCGATCTGTTTAGCTTACAACAATGTTGATGATGTGATTTAAATGTTGAATTTAACAGTGGCAGATGTAGCTGCCGAAGAGATGCCCGATCTTTCTGATGGTGATGATGAAGATATGGATGGAGACGGAGAACAATGGCAGTGGATGGAGGAGGACAGTCAGCCTGTTAGTTGTCTGTTCTGTGAGAGGTGAGGCTGTGGAGAAACATTGGCAACGGAAGACGCTAGTGTTGCAGTTTTACGTGAAATTTGCCCGGTCGTGTTGTGTGCTTTCGTCTTGAAAACATTTTTTCAAAACAAAAGTCGACCGAAGAAGAGCCTAAAATCTTTGTTTTTTGACTCACTATTATTGTTTCCTTAAGCTACAATTGTCCAATATAAATACATCATACGTTTTTTGGTTTACAATAAGTTATTTTTAAGGTGAAAATCTTACATGAAGCTTTCTTCACCTTCAACTCATTACATTTCAGTGTCACTGTTTTTTTGTTTGATTTCTTTTTGTTTTTATATATATCTTAATAAATATCTTTTTAATTAATTGTTAATTAAAGTCAGTGGTTCTGTTATTTTTATGAGCCTTCATTAACAGTTTAACCCCCCCTTTTTTTTTATTAATCCTTTTTCTTCACATTCACTTTTTTCTTTGTCTTCCATTACAGGTTGCTAATTTTTTATTATTATTACTTCTTTGTCTTCCATTACAGGTTGCTAAAGTCTGTACCTGCCACCTTGCAACATTGCCAAAGTGAACATCAGGTCAGCCTGGTAGATGTGATCAGGAAACATGGTAAGCAGACCAAAAGTTTAGTTCCACTGTAGGGAGTTAAAATACTGTTTTGTTTTTTAAAAATGAATGACTCACTCACTGGTCTCATGTGTTTCTAGGTTTAGACGACTATGGCTACATAAAAATGATCAACTTTATAAGATCAACAGTAAGTACAGTTAGTACTGAGTTTGGTCTCAGATTGACTAGTATAAAATCAAGAGTGGATGTTTTTAAAAAGATCAAATGTTCTTTTTACAGAAGTTTGATGCATCCTGTCTGCCGGTGCTTCCAGACGCTCCCTTACCTTGGGAGAGTGAAGAATTCCTCCGACCAGTTTTGCAGGATGACCCCTTGCTGCAAATGGGTACATCACTTTTAGGGCTGTCAATTAATTAAATGTTTTAATCAGATAAATCACAGGGAAGCAGTAGATCAATTGTAAATAATCAGTCACAATTTATGTTTAATCATGATTAATCACACTAAGTCAACATCCCTAAGTTTAACAAATAAAAACATTTTCTGTATATTGCTAAAACACAGGTAGATGAGCGTGTTTCATTATTGTACTGTGGCTCAGGAAATGTTGGGAAAAAAGTACAACTAGTAAAAGATTTGTGTGGATGCAGTTTCTTCTTGGATATGGTTTCTTCTACTTGTGCCTTCTCCAATTTCTACTCGATTTGGTATTGCAGGTTTTTAAAGCTCTACAAGGTTAAATATTTGTTGATAATTGTCTGGTCAAAAAAAATTTATTCTCATGTCTCTCAGACCCAGAGGAGCTCTGTGGCACTGAGGAGGCACCTACTGTGACTGGGACCCAGAGTGCACTTCTGCAGAGAGCAACGGCTGCTGAGGAGAGAGCCCAGCGCTCAGAAGAGGCTCTGTCCAGAGCCATGGACGACCTTCATAAACTCAAGTCAGTGACAGCTCCTACCGTTTCAGCCTTTTATACAACTGTTTGAAATAATGGCGTGAGTTTTTCTTCAAACCTTCCTTTTTACAAAATGTGCGTTTGCTGCACCCCCTGTCGACCAGCAGAGGGCCACAGTGAACCCAGTATTACAGAATCCTTAACTAGAAATACCTTGTGGAGGAAGTTCAGGGGATGGGGGAAAATTAAAAAAAGAGGAAGGGAAAATTCCACTGCAGCATGGAGGTGAGAGTGAGGAGGGGGTAGAGGGAGGTGGTGGTTGAGGGTGCAATAAGGGAAAATTACAGAAAGAGTGAGGGGGGTAAAAAGCAGTTAGAAAGATGAATGCCTCCCCTCTCCTCCGTTTAATCCTATGTCCTGCATGAAGGTTGTGTGTGCTTTCTGCTCTGTGGCCACAGTTTTCAGTCCGACGTCCTCGAACAAGACATTAAACGCATCTCTGTCCTGCGCTTTTGCAGGCTGTTGGCTCAGGGTTTGGTGCTTAATGCAGAAACGGGCAAAACTGGGAACCTGAGCAGCGTTTCTGAACTCAGGGAAGATGAGGACGAGGCCTACTTCGGCTCCTACAGCCATTATGGCATCCACGAGGAGATGCTGAAGGTCTGAACTCTGCACACATGAAAAAACACACACACAGAGACACACACGCAGTGACCAGAACTGCAGTTCACTTTTACACAGTTGCGATCTCCTGCGCCAGGTTTGCAAAACACAAATGTTCTCATCAGCATACTCCTCGCCTGAAAGGTTTCAGTGTAACACACAAATGAAACTTAGAATCTTAATGAAGACACGAAAACTGACATGTCAGCAGTAATCGCTGATCTCTCATGTGAGACACTGCGAGTCATTGCGGCCGCACAGGGAAACTGGAAATGATGAGTTTAATTTGTACAGTCGTCCCCCTGAACCTGAAAGTCTCAGCAAACTGTGGCTGTTAGATGTCCGTCTGTGTGACAGATACTTCCTGTGGACCAGTTTTCCTGTTGGCGCATTCTGATTGGTTGTAATCGCTGTTAACTTTTGCGTGGTGTGTGCGTCAGGCACTGAGCCCCATCATAACCTCAGGAGGGTCAGGAGCGTGTGATTGGATGAAGCAGCTTTGCAGTAAAATGTGTTCAACTCCCTTTTTTTTCTTTAGTTGGTAATGTGCCAGTGCTGTACTCTGAGTCTGATTCTCTTTCCTTAAGACTGCTGTTCTCCACCAGTTTTCTTTTCCCCCAAATGGTCGAAGACATCTAATATTATTTTAACTTTTGAATGTCTGTAAATAGATTAAAAACGTGACGGCAAATGATTATTTTCCGTCTGGTAACATTTCATTCAGAACATGCCTAGTTAGTGTGAAAAACGGGGAACATAGAAATGTTCCTTAAACCAGTACTGGTGACATGGTTCAGCCTTTCATCCCAACTGAGTTAGTAGCTTCTCTGTGAGAGGAAAGTGCTGGTGATTTGTGGACAGGTCAGATTAGTGGGTTTATTACTGACCTTTGCCATGAAAAAACCAGAGGAAGTTGAAGGTTTTTGGGTTTTTCAATGAAAATAACCTGATAAAATAATCTGTGTTTCTACACACTCTGCTTCTAACATTTAACACATCTGCAAATGTTGGTGTTTTCATCCAAGAATTCCTTTTTGCTAGAATTAATTGTTTACACTCAAGGTCACAACATGTTTTGATGTCGTTACAATCTCTGCTTAATGCCTGAATCAGTTCAACAGTTTTTTTCATTTATTTTGGAAAGTGAGAAAAAACAGGTCAAATGAAACCAAACACACGTCTGCCTGACAAAGAAATTACACTTGTGATAGCTGTGCTGGTGCCTGAACAACATATTAACAGATTTAAGAACGTCTGACTTCCCCATATATGTAACTCTCAGATACATTTATACATCTCTGTAAATATCTGCATATAAATATTTGTGACTTTGAATGTTCTTCCCACAGGATAAAGTCCGCACAGAGAGTTACCGAGACTTTATGTACCGCAACCCTGAGGTGTTTAAAGACAAGGTGAGCATTGAAACACATAAACATACAAGGGCGTATGTGTGTGATAATGAGTGTCTGTTTTGCACTTTGGCTTGTAGGATACGCCACAAAGCCATTGAACATGAAATGTCCAGGTGGATTTTGCAGGAAAGACGTTAGCACAGGCGCCGCTGTCTGATTTAATGCACTGTCTCAGTTTATTAGCAACTTGAATGTCAGCTGCAAAGAACTGATAACAGTCCAGCATCCAACCCATAACATCCAACTACCCCCCCCCCCCATTCCATTGCCTTTAGTAGCAGAACGCAGTGGCCTGTATCATGGCCATCCATTATTTGGGCGGCTGCTGGTTAGAGCAGGGATGGGGCTGTGGAAGAGGGAGGAAGGTTGCGTTGATGGGAACGTACATTATCCCTGTCAGAGTGCAGCAGTCGGCACTGAGAGGAAGGTGTCACCTACAGGAAGCAGCAGATGAAGAGCAAAACAGGAGGCTCATGTGACGCTTCTGTTAAGATGTAAGGGCAGAAACATAAACGTTCCTGGGCAGAACTGAAAGATGGAGAACAGTGTGGAGGAGACGTTTGCAGTGTTTTGTCAGTAATGTGTTGGTAAAACCTGCGTGAACCCATAAAGGCAGTGGGACGCTCACTGGGAAGTTTCCCTAAATAGGGATGCGGCACAAACAGAGTGTTACATATAGATGGTGTACAGTCACTGTGTCTGTGCCGGGGGCCATTAAACACTAGTGGAGGGTAAAGAACAACATACTGTGGCCTATGGGAACCCGGAATAGAGGTGGATCATGACAGATGTTAAGGCCTTAAGACAGATCAGCCCACTGATGACCTCAGTTTGGAGTCGCTGACCTCAACACAGCTGGAGGTCACGTGTCAAGTAAAACAAAAAACCTTACTAATATACTGTTTATCCCAGCATACCCTGAGGCAAATATTTGGTTTTTACAAAGTAAATACTACCTCCAACCATTCAAACAGATCTTAAATTAATTTGTATGATGAATAGTTTGAAAAATAAATTTGTTTTACAACCACCATAATTTATTACTCACTAAATAGCTCACTTGCTCTTAGCATGCCTAAAAAAATGTATTAATGAACAGTTTCCTGTAGTCTTCTACAAGGATAATTTTTTTTTTCTTTGATTCCACATCCAGCCCTCTGACTGATGGGTATGAATGTCCCCTACTCATAGGAATTAGCTTTAGCTGTAACATATTTTCCTGTCTAATCTCTTTCTCTCCTTTAGGTGGTGCTAGATGTGGGCTGTGGGACTGGTATTCTGTCAATGTTTGCTGCCAGAGCTGGAGCCAAGAAGGTGTTTGCTGTGGACCAATCAGAAATCATCTATCAAGCTATGGACATAGTCAGGTTAGGGTTTGGCTAACAGTCACTTTTTTTTTGTTTTTTTTTTCTTCGTTCTATCAACACCCCCTTCACTCCGCAGTGTGAATTCCAGCAGTTTTGTTTTATTCTATGAGGTGTGTCATGTGACCTCCACATTAGAGGCAGCAGAGGGTCATGAAGGCTGAGGTCTCCGTGACCTCGAGTCACCTTTTTATTTGTCGCAGCAGGTTGACTTCAATAGAGCTGCTGTCAGTAGCACGGCCATAACGCTCGTAATTTACACCTGCAGCCTGACCGCCTCGCACACCCTCTGCTTCTTCTTTTATACCTTTACTGTCTGAGGTGTCACTCACTCACCCCCCGCCAATCAATCAATCATTAGCATGCTCACTCACTCACCCACTCACTCACCCACTCACTCACTCACTCACCTACCGATAATGGACCAGTTTTAAACAAAGATGTGTTTTTATTTTTACCTCAGCTCCTGCTTCTTTCCACATTTCCAGTAGGTGGTCCTCTACACTGGATTCCTACATTTACCTGCAGTGACTCCCTCCGTCCCGTTCCCTCTCTGCCTGTATAATGTATTTTTGACTTAGGGGCCATTATGCCAGCTATTATTACCGTTATGTAAGAGAGTGTCGTATAAGCAAAACAACAGGGTGTTCTGAGGGAAAAGGACGTTTTAATTTTACAGCCCACTGGCTCGCTGCTGGAGTGTGTGTTGGCATGCGGGCTGCATCACAGGTTTGCCAGTGGTGAAGAGTCAGCTACAGTGCTGTAACCTCCTCCTTTTTTCCCCAACGCACTCACTCCCTCACTTGAACATAAAGAGAAACCTGACTCCTGAATCCAAAACTAGGATTCTCTTTTGTTTATACTTTTATGGCTCTTATTAATCTTATTTGTGTGTGTTTTTGGGAGAGCGAGAGAGAGAGGGACTGTGTGTGTGTGAATGATCTTAATATCAGGATTGTAATTAAAGTGACTCCTGCTGGTTGGGCAGAACATTTATCTCCTGGCTCTACTCCATCGCCGAGGTTTAAATGAAAATCTGGACGTGACGTTCTTCCTTCACAGTCACTTCCTTAATGGAAACCGCCTTAATACGTTTTTTTCTTTAATGGCTGTGAGTGATGGATTATCCAGTAGGATGCACCAAAATCTGACAGCAAAGTGGGACAAAGTGATATTTTATACGGTTGAGTAAAAGTTTCCGTAACGACGGGGACTAAAATAGAAACAGAAACGAGACCTGGTTTGGACATGTTCAAGATTTGATTTCACAATACAGTTTACTGTTGTTTAAAATCCCATTTGTTTTGTTGTTAACCCCAAAAAACAAGGATTCAGTGATACATGGGTCAAACTTCTGTGTGCTGATCTTTAGTTTGTAGAACGCACCTTTCCTTTCTTGCCATGGGTGGCGCTGTAAACACATCCTACAAAATGTCTGTGCTTAATGGCAGTCAATGTCATTGTTATGTGCAAATAACAAATAATAATAATGACAATCATAAAAATAATAATAATGATAATAAAAACGGTGTTCACACATAATAAAGTAATTATGGATATGCCATAATAATGCATTTATCTGCCCAGCTGTAAACCATTACACATCTGTTCATGTAGCTACAACTTTGTTTTTTTCACAAAATGGTTTAATGCATTCAGATTTGGAGAACAGTAAATTCTCATTGGAACTTAGCTTTAAAAACCTTTAGATAAAATACTGTAGTTTGTCACTGTTTTGTAGAGCTGTACAAGTCCAACAGCATGATGTCATGATATTAAATTACAGTGACTACTGTATGTATTTTTCATATGGAAACTTTCCCTCCAGAAATTATTTTTTTCCACTTTCAAAAGAAAAAAAATAGAGGACTGCATAATTACTGCTGATGAATACGGACTTGTATTACAAACCGGGAGGTTTCAGGTTCGAGTCCACCAGCTGCCAAGTTACCACTGCGGTGCTCTGGGCATGGCACCGTCCCCACTCACTGCTGCCCACTGTTCACTTTGGTGATGGGTTAAAAACAGAGGTCACATTTGGTTGTGTGCTGTGGTGTGCTGTGTCACGATGACAGATAATTCACTATGTATGTACATACTGAATAAGTATGGCACATACATGTCAGTTGCTGATTATTAGACTGAGTTTAGGAATTTAAGGTATTTTATCTAATACTAGATCACAAAATATCTTGAAATGATCAGTGATTGCTTAACCTTTAATTTTCAAAACTCGGCATCAGTTTTTTGAAGCATCACTGATAATGAAAAATAGCTGCTAAACTGAGTAGGAATGTAAATGTGTTGGTAATATGACAGGGGAAAAAAATCAATAAACCACAGACTAAATGTAACTGACACAAATATATTACAGAGCCTTGTTTCCTATATGACAAGCTTTCCCCTGCTTTTAGGGCAGATGCACACACAGACAGACACTGCTGTACAAAGCTGCACAGATACTGACTCACTCCCAAGAGTCCTGACATTGTCCTCTAAATTACCCCAATAATGAGATTACAGTGTTTCCCTCTTGTGAGAGGTGGAAGGGTTGGAAGTGAGGTCTGTGTGTGGAGGGGGGAGACCAGGGGGGGTTAGGATACTGCGAGAGGGCGATAGCGGTGGCATAGGTGCAACAGGGGAAAAGGGGAGAGACAGTTCAAGATAAAGATCACTGCGACAGAAATGCTCCCTGGGCCAGTGTGAGTAATTGTTCTGTCCTCGGTAACATTAGCTGTCATGATAATGGAATATTCACAGAGATTGATTCCCACAGTGGCTGGACTGAAAGGAAGGGCCATTTCCTACCTGGGACTGATGCCCCTGCAGGCGAACAGTTTACAACCTGCAAGACTCAAATAACACAGGCAGTATAAGGAGCGATGAATGATGGGTCACGACTCTGTTTACAAAAAAAACAAAACTTTATCAAGTCTGAAGTTTCTGGTTGTCCAACTGTAGCTGTTCATTTTAGACAGTCAACAACTTCACTGCATGAATGCCCATCGTGCATTTTCAACTAGCAGGTGGAATTGTCTGTCTTTTTGACAGCACTAATTGGTCAGTTCTCATGTCTCTGTGCAGCTTTTTCCATGCTTTACTCTCTGCTCTTCTATTGTTGTACAGCATGGGTTTAATCCTAATTATATAATTCTATGAAGAGGGTTGAGATTAGTAAAGGTTTTGTCAGAGGTTTTTGATTCACGCTTATACCCCTTTATTTAAAAACATTTAATAAGGGAGTCATTTGTGCGTCATAACTTTGCAGTTCTGTCATCCATTTTTTGTAAAATGTGAGGCTGCTCTAAAAATATAGACTTTTAGCTGAAGCTAATATGTCACCCATTGAGTGTTAAACAGCAGACAGACTGAGCTGATACCAAGCTGCAGGAGTTTAATGGTCTCAGCAGGTAACCAATAAATCCACAAGTCTAAACGAATGTCAACGTTGCTCAGTGTCTGAATTGTAGTTACATTTATTAAGCTTTTAAAATTGTGGATGGGTAAACTCTACATAGATGACACATTTCTTTTTTCTGTTTTTTTAAAGATGCAACAAGTTGGAGGACAAGATCACACTGATCAAAGGCCGCATTGAAGATATAAAGCTTCCTGTTGAGAAGGTGGACATTATTATCTCTGAATGGATGGTGAGTTCACACGCCATCTACAATGTGCTCTATTTAGACGTTTCCATTTATGCAAACAAAGCAGTATTTGTCATCTGTCTGTTGGAATGAATTGCTTGAAGGATTTTTTTTTTGTGGCCAGTGAAGACCAGTAAATACTGCATGGCTTTTGAAGACATTAAACACATCACCATTGCAAAATTACTACATTTATCAAAGCAAGGTAACAGTCAGATAAAGACTTCTTTTTGTATGACAAACAGACTCTTGTTAGAAGTTATACAATATAGCTGTACTGCAGTTCACAAACAGCGCCACCATGACTGTAGGTGCACTGTACTCTGGCCCCTTAGGAAACAGGTACAGACTACAGACCAGCTGAGACTGAGGTATAGTAAAGGAGAATATAAATACTGGTCAAAGCGTAACTATATGTCTCATCCTATTAATATATACAGTGAAACATTAAACCCCATGAAAAAACAGTATGATAAAAATGCAGAATTTAAAGTTCAGCTCAGATTAGCATCCAGTGCCAGAGTGCAGAATCCAGAGTGCCAGCAGCAGTGATGCATGTTTGGAACGTGCCTTAAAGATGGCCGAAAATTAACCATGACCTGCTTTGAATAACAAACCAAGAAGAGCAGTGTTCTTTATATTTGATGCCAATTTATCAGGGAGATTCCCTCAGTGATACAAGCAGGATGGCTAAAGTTGAATGCACTGCTGAAGTCATCCTTAATTCATGAGCATCCCGTATCTGTCCCACCTCCACTTTCCCCATCCATCGTGAAACCCCAGGGTCACGAGTAGGGGTCGCCAGTCAGAGCCTTCCCATCCTCTCAACAGGGAAATTGAAATTCGCTGGCTGATGTGCCAGTGGGACATTGAAGGATAGGGGGCGTAATCTCTGATGACACTGGCTCTCAGAGTGCTAATAAATCGAAGGATCCTCCAGTCACTTCTCATCATGGAGAGAGATGGCAGACATTTCTCAAAATGACCACAGCTTTGAAACTGCCCTCCTATCTGCCTGTATAAAAAGTAAAATGACATTTGTCACAGGAGTAGACTCTACAGTCAGACTGTATTGAACTTTAATGGCTTTGCTTTACTGCCAGCTAGTGTCATATTAACTGGAAGAGAGGCAGGAGATGTCATCATTCTGTGTAAGTGGTTGATTTATTTTACACTCCTCTGGTAAATTATCATATTTAGTGCTATTTTTAATAAAGGAATGTTTCAATATTTATACATTTAATAAATATAACCTTTATTAATATCATCTGAATGATGATTTCATGTTAATTTGTCAAAAAAACAATAGCATAAAAATTAATAGAGGTGCAGTTTCATTTCTAAGTATTTAACTTTATTTAATTCAAATAATAATAATAATCAAGATTGCTTTGTTCATAAAAGATGGTCAACAGAATATATATATTTTTTTGTAGTGAGAAATGGAATGTTGGAATTCTGAGGGTTGACGTTGGATGGTTTCTCTGGCTCTGCTGTAGTGTAGTTGGTCAGAAGGTCTCCGTCCCCAAAGACGACCCAAGTTTTAATTCAGCTGTGGTCAGACGTGTCCCTGGGCACTGATACGCCCCAGTTGTAAAGGGTTGCCCGATGAAGGACATTTTGCATGAAAACACATGTCAGTCTCTCTTCCCAGATGACCTGCAGTGGTGATCCCTGACATCTGGAGCAAACCAAAACAAATTGTTAAAGTTACAAAGTTTTCATTTCTCAAACCCATAAAAAACAGATTTATTCCATTGTGTTTTCCTCAATTCACAGCTCTGTTCTTTATCTTTTGTCGGTAAAGTGATGTTTCTGGTGAATTACCAAATTACAATCGTTTGCCAACTTTTCTGGGAGAGCTGTTTGTCAGTGATGTGCTGCTGTCGGAGTTGTTGTTAGATCAAGCAGACAGATGTGGGTACAGGGCCAGTACAGCAAAATGGGTGATAAATGTGTTGCATCTGTGGTGGTGTTGGTGGAGGAGGAGAGGAGGGTAAATGAGTGTCTGCTGTGTGTCTGAGAGACTGCCTTTAGCAGAAACTCTGTCATTTCATAAGTCACAGCATTGATTGTGGGTCTGTTTCTCAGGACACCAAAAACAAATTGTGTTGAGTAGATAAGAGTGTGGCAGACGGGGAGGGAGGGAGGAAAGAGCTGAGTTTTACAAAGACTAAACAAACAACAAACAGTCCAGATCAATCACCGTGGACAGGTTTAGCAACTTAACAGTTCCTAATGACGTAATCAGAGTTTACCTCTCAGAGTTGACTGGTTTTAAGTAGATTTTGTTACATATTTTTTGTCAGTTCTTTTTACTGACTCAGTTATCTTTTTTTTTTTCATTCCACGATAAAAAGCAAAACAAAACATAACTGAAAATGTAGTAATGAAACAGAAGAGACGTCCTGTCAGTCACTGTGATACATAAGTAATAATAATAATAACAGCTAATTTGTGGCCTTAAAAGTTTTCTGTTCTGGCTGTAGCTTGGTTGCAGTCGAGGCTCTGCCTTACTTTCTATTCTTTTGTTGTTTTTTGCTAATTGTGTTAGCAGTCTGCTGTGATGTCACCCACTACAAGATTCAGAGGGATTACTTAATAAACAAACGAATCAGACACATTTGGCTAACTTAGTAATGCTATCAACAATAATACTTGGATTGCAGATTGTCAACAGTGAACACTGATAACATAATAGTTTTAGTGTAGAGTATATATTAAAAATACATTATTCTGTTTCCCCAGTGGTATCTAAAGATGTAGAACTATTTCAGCATTGCCTTGTTCTCAGACCCATAATCCTACATCACACCCTTGACGTGGTTATTGTGGAGAGGAACAACCTCCTTATTCCCTTAAAATGATGAATTCAGTTCTGGGTCCTGAATGCCTGGACAGGTTCTCAGCCAAGTGAGAATTAGGATGTTTATGGCTCATGTGTAGATTCACAGCAATAACATTTTATTTCACAAAGGCAAACATTATTTTATGTTTATGCTGCTGTCGCAGACTTTGACCTTAAAAGCGAATGAGTTTTTAAGTAAAGGTGCCTTTCCTGAACTCCAAAGCGTAAACCCATGTGTCGGAAAAAGATGTGTGACCGTATTAAACTTCACATTATCTGGCAGTGACATCTATTGTTGACGTGATAAAAGGTCTGTCCTTGTTTTACCAACAGCTAAATATTTTCAGACATAAACTTTAGGTGGTTTTTGGCAGGTTACCAAGCCTTTATAGCAACAAAAGTGGAATGGAATGAACAGCAAACTTTATTTTCACAGGAGAACTCATGAAAAAAGTGAATCAATATCTTTATGGCAGAGAAAGTCGATATGATCCCCATGCTCTCTTTGTCAACATTTAATACATGTATAGCTCATCCTCATTATTCATGTATTCAAGTTGAACCTGATTTTTTTCCATGAGCTTCAGATCATTTTTGTTTAAACAGATTAACCTGAGGCCAATTACTGAAGGTTATTTCCAATGGTTGCTACAGGGGCTGCTCTGACAGCACTTTGTTTTTAGCCATCACTTCCGTCACTTTAGACCAGGCCTGGGCAAGCCTTTTGCCTCGTGGGCCACAATTGTCCTAAAAATTGAACGGGAGGCCAGCTCAGGAGCAGATAGATGGAACGTTCGTGTGAAGTAAGATAAATGACTTGTAAAAGTCATGCATAAAGGCTAAAATGCTAAAATTATTATTATTTATCATTTTATATTTCATCTATTGGGGAAACGTGGGGATTGCAGGGAAAAGGCAGAAGTATAATGATGATATAAATACATTATATAATTTGGATAAGTTTGGCGGGCCAGATTAAAAAGCTGAACGGGCCACATCTGGTCCCCAGGCCTTAGTTTGGTCATGCCTGCTTTAGACGATACTTTCAAACCACTGTCCAGAGAATAATGCCGTTCCAAACTTTGCTAGTGCATAATAACAAGATTATCTGTCTGCCATAATGACTAATCTGGGACTGGCCAGTTTTGTAATTTACAGTTTAAAGATGGAAAGGAATAAAAAAAATATTGCTTATTGTTAACGTTTTTCCCCCTGTGACACAGTACCTAATGATGCATTCTGATCCTAGTGATTGCAATGGCTGGGGCAAGAAATTGAGTCAAGATAAGCATGAGCTGTAACTCCTCCTTCAGGACATTAAAACTATTCCTGCACTTTGTTATATGATTGGACTGAACACAGCACCAAAGGGTTCTTCCAGCCAATGTAATGGCTCTGTACTGTATTTGGAGTCTTTTCATTAAACAGCTCGCTATATAACTGTAATGAACATTCGCTCTCATTTTAACTACAACAATTTAAAAATAAATCTGTGTCGTACATTTAGCAAATCCCAAAACTGTCAAATCTATATGTAAAGATTTAACAGGGGGCGCTCTTTCTCACAGCCTTGTATTCACTGCATGCATTTAAATGGAAATTAGTTTTATTCAGTTACCAGCGCAGTACTGTATTGCATTAATGGACTTAATCTATTGTACAATGTGTGTAATATGTTTATGCTAATTTGGTGTAATGTACCCGTAGATTAGTGTATACTCAGCCTGTTGATGTGCACATACATTCACAGGAGCCTGCATCAGAGGCAGGCAGCTGATCTCCTGTTTTATTTTGCCTCGTCTCTCTCAGGAGGGCGAAGTGATGATGATCTGCAGTAATTGAAAAAGACGTTTGTTGAATGGAGGGAGGACTAGCAGGGACTGGAGGACATAGAAAAGTAATGATGGAGATTTTGTACAAATGTTCCTCCTGGTTCCTAAATCTGACAGACAGCCCTAGGTCTCGTGTTTAATATATTTGATGGACACGAAGAATGTCAGTTAAACTTTTTTTTTGTTTCTGCTGTGTACCTTAGAGCTCGGTGAAACAAATGAAGTTCTTGACAAAAGTAACACAGCTGTAACAAAGTCTATTAACCATTTTTCTATTGTGCGTAATTGCGTTTAAAGTTGCATATGGTGTTGTGTATATGCTGCCAGTGTCTGTGGGAGCCCCACTCAGGGGAATGTGTTTTATATGCTAATTTTGTTAATGTGTATAAGCTGTTTCAACCCATTCTCATTAGGTTTTCATTAGTCTCTTTTATGGAAATGCACAGTGACTATACTGCAAAGCATCACCTGCACAAGTGCAGCTATTTGACAGAAAATCTAAGCTGTTTCCTCACATAAACACCACCTTCCGTTCTGTGTCACTGTGCCTGCAGACAGACAAATAAACAAGTGGCAAAAATGCAGATGAGTTTTAGTTGTAATTCTATGTAATTATTAAAGCATGTTTTTGTTCACACCTTCACATTTGAATTTGTAAATTTCTCATTTAAATTCAGTTACAGACTAAATTGTTTATCAGTTTCATCCATTTTTATGATTCCAGTGCCTGGTGCTAAAACCACAGTTTTCCTTTTACAACTGTGAAGAAACTCCAGCAGGCGTCATTTTATGTTAGGTGTTTCTTTGTGAACACATTAAACGGTTTTCAGTGCAGCTTGATGCTGTTCTTTTTTAACTTTTATAAAAGGTTTGTTGTTTGCACCTGCCTTCTGATTGTTTGTGTAGCTTGACATCAATGTAGTGTTTCATTTATGGTTACAGCCTGGGTTTACCTTATTGCCTTTCTTTTGTAGAGGTTGTTATCATCACCTTTTCTCTCTTCCTCTTCTTTCCCATATTCCACTTCAGTCATTACCCAGTGTGGATCTATGGATATGTTAAAACACAATCATAGTTATGATTAGGCTGCTGATGTTGATTTTGGCACATTGCTGATGATGAAAGTTAGATGTGACTCTGACTGTGCGTTTTGGCGTCTCGCTCACTTCCATATCCTCTTTCCTTCAAGTGAGTCAGTGTCCTGTGAAATTGGGCTTTAAATTACGAGGTACTCAATACCAGGGTTTTAAAAATGACCTTCTCTGTGGCTAAGGACATCGACTGACCAAGGCAGTCAACAGCGGCAGACAATCTGTCGCTTTGATTTTATTTCTTTTTTTTTTTCTTGACCAGCCCTTTGTTGATGAACAGAGGGAATTGTTTGCTTTATTGCCTTGTAGAAGAAGAGTTGGTTATATCAGCTACAGTGCTGAAGTAGGAGCTGTAATTTAGTACGCTGATCCTTCCGTACTCCTCTTCTTTAATAATGTGTTTCCTTCATTGAATTATAAGGATTGTCTCGCTGAATTTCCATTAATCTGTCTACATACTCTAGTTTCCTCATCATAAGGCCCTTATCTTCAGTGAAGTTCTTGGTGCCCACTCATACACGTCATCTTGGATGTTAGTACAGTAGGTGACGTCTGCTAGGACAAATAATTCTCCAGTTATTGAGATTCTAGAATCCTTAAATTGTAAAGCAGCTAAAAACTGAATACAGAATTGACTTCCAATCCTGGAGCAGCTGTACCACTTAACTTATGTAACCAGTCCTGGAACACTGTTTTCTCTTTTAGATTTGCATGAATTAATGACCAAATACACACATAGATATGACTGGATATAAAGGTCAAACTTCTTGCTTCCTAACCTGACTTGAAACTTGTTCTGATATTTTGTTTGTTTTCTGCTTCTGTGAGCAGAGCAAATTCTGTCCCAATATACAAGCCACAGATGATGAAACGTTCCGATACTGTGTAAATTGAAAATTGCAGCACAGTCGAACTACAGTGTCAGTGCTTGTAACATATTTGTTATGTACCAGCCTTAATTAAAAAATAATGTAGTGTTGTGGCTTCTGCTTGTTGATGCTGCTAAGATAAAAGCCATTCTATTTGTTTGTAGCGACACAAGAGCTGTGGCTCACAGTACTGCCTTACCTGCTTAGCTTGACGGCAGGTTGAAAAATCCATTTGTCAGCAGTATCTGCCACTCTGGGTGAAGCCAACAAGATGTGGACGAAACCCAATTTCAGCATTAATGAAATAATACCACGGTTAATGTGCCGTCTACTGGAGCAGAACACCAGGTCGGCCCAGGGTCAAAGCTTTGAAGGCTTCCTGGGCTGCCACGTAGCATCTGATGTTATTCAGAGTCAGTGGTAATTCAGGTTTTTACAGGAGTAATTATGTAGAGTAAAAATAATCCAATTGTCCGATAAATGGTATGTTGTCACTTCCAATTTTGTGTCTTTCACGTGTTCAGTTTTAAGATTGTTTCTGCATTTTATTTGTTATTAGATTGCAAAGTATTCTTCATTAATCTTTTGAAGTATTTTGATGTAGTGTTTTCTTCTGTTCTAGGGTTATTTCTTGCTCTTTGAATCCATGCTGGACTCTGTTCTATATGCCAGAGATTTATACTTGGCTGATGGAGGATCAGGTAAGTCAGTTTGATTCCTGTTTCAAGGTAGGAGGAATTCATCATCAGTTCTACGGACATATTTTTATGGCATACAATTTAAATGATTTAGAATCTTATAACACTGTATATTTATCCAACCTTGACTTTTTTTTTTTGAATATATATAAATATATTAATAATCTAGGCAAATCAACATAGTGAGCACTTTTAGCATTATAACGTCTGGTGGAGCACATACTATGATGTGGTGGGCCAGAGCAGGCCTGCCAGCCTTGAGTTTGACATGGGACACATACTGTAGAGATCAGGTTCTGACGGTGTATATTTTAATTCTGTCAATATACTGTAACTGTTGATGGCTGTAATTGTATTCAAGTTCTAAATAGTAAAATGGCATCAGTAGTGTGAGGTAAAGGTCCATTCAGAAATAGTTTTTATTCATTTAAATTTTCAGGAAGCCAGAGTGCATCCAGAGTTTACGATTTATTTCCAATATAGAAATGATGGCCTTTATAATAGTGCTTTTTATTTTACTCAGTTTCTGAGTGTGTGCACACGGCAGGCTTGAGTTATTAGTGCAGGCCGACAGCACTGCTGCTGTATGTATGTTTAAGCTACATTAGAAAAGAGTTACAGCAGCTCCCCCATTCTCCCCACTACATTAACCTCCCCTTCATCCTCAAATGTGTCCCTGCAATGCCTGGCACAGCACAGCACAGCATCCTGGGAAAAGGGATCTGTATTGTCCCATGCCCCCCCTCCCACACTGCCTTTCCCTCTTTTACAGCCGACCAATGGGGGAGATAGAGTGAGGAAGCTTGGGAAGAGGGTGAAGGTGGAGAGGGGAGCATGACAAACAGGCTGTGGTCAGTGAGTCGAGAAGGACGCAGATGTCAAAGCCATGAATCTGGGGACGCCCATGTACACCCCCACTCTCCCCCAACTTTCCCTTTTTTCACTCTCCCTCTCCATTGACACTAGTGAGCCCCCTCCTCTACCCATTTGTCCCTCGGTCTCTGCTTCTTTTGGAGTTTGTCTTGCAGGACAGTCTGTCCTGAATCTGCCCAATCAGCACCTCTTCTCACCTGGACCTCATAATTACTCTCTCGGTTCAGTAATCAGAGTAAAATGAAGTGACAAATCTGCTGTGTGTGTGTGTGCGTGTGCGTGTGTCTCTGTGTGAGTCTCTCTGTGTGTGTATGCCTTTGTGTAAATGTATGTGCGTAGTCATTAGGTATTGTGACACTCACAGGGTCACAGGCAGACTTCAACTAATAATGAGAGGCCATGAGATGCCCATCACTGAACTGTCACCATCCATTCACATAGTTTATGACCCAACTTGTTGAAGGTTACGTGAGATTGCAGGCTCACAACTATGCTTAGCTACATATACAGTATATACAGTATAATGTGCTCAGTGAAAGGCTTACATTTTGTAGTTCCTGGAGACCGGGTTGTTTTGGTTTAACCTTGAACAATTTGGAATTCTACTGTTGTTAGTGTTCTATTTTCTTCTTGTTTGTGTGGTCATGTGTGCCAGGCAGAAAATGTGTGGCAGACTCCAATTCAGGCTAGTGATGGTTAGCATGTTGGTTAATATTTTCTTCTGTATTTTCCCAGGTAGTTCAATGATCAGACAATTCTTCTCTTAGAAATCTCTGTGTAAAGAAGGTCAAGGCCACTTAACAGCCATTTAAAAACAACATCTTTGTGAATGGTTATCACAGCATTCTGGAAGTTTACTGTAAATCAGTTTAGTAAACATAAAAATCCAAGCTTTTGTCTGTATGGTCAGGTTTTCTCGGTACAAGTTATGCCTGGTGTAGATTTTTTACAATTACTAAATGATCATGCTGCTGTATCATGATGTATACTGCAGTAGTGGTTGAGTACCCAGAGGTCCAGAGGACTGCAACATTGGTGGTTATTCCATTGTGAATCCCTAAGACAGTCAGCTGTTAGGGGCCCTCACAGATTGTTACAAGTAACAACTTTTAAGTCTTTTTTGTGCTCCGTCCTGACTTATGTCTGTTGCTAGTATCAATTTGAAATGTAATGTTTCGATTTGTGTAGAACCCAATTTGTCTGTGAAGTCATAGAGAATCATTATTGTCCTTCAACCTCATTTAAAACATATTAAAGTAAGTTTCCTTTTTTGGAAGTTTGAAATCATTCTTTTGGAAATGGAAATTTGTGGTCTGGGCCTTGGGCTGTGTGTTGGCTAATGTTACTTCACAGTAGGAAAACTATGGCTGCAAGCGCCTCAGCTCTGCTTAATCACTATGCATATTATAATGTATTCAAATATGAATGAACACAAGAAGACATTACGGTTCATGGTTAATGTTCATCTTAGGACATGGGTAATGTCCATACAATGCTGTGTGTTGAATGGACATTATTCATTGTTGATGCATCAGAGGAGGCTTTCAGGCTCACCTTGAAGAAGAAAATATTTGACGACCAGATTTGATTGAGCTGATATGTGACAGGTGTGTATGTAATCTTCTTTGAAACACTGACTTCCAAAGAAACTCCATGTCTATGCAGGTGTTGATAATTTATTCAAAAAGATGCTCATTTGATTACAGTGATAAAACCAGCATCCCTTTCTAACCAAAGCAAAGTGTAATATTTTTGTATAATATTTTTTTATGAGTTCAGCACAGTGGCATTTCTAAAACCTGATACGGTTCTTATTTTGGTGGAACGTCACTACTTCGCTCTAGTGCACGACACTTTATAAAAGGCTCCATTGGTTTGTGTAATTCTTTATAGAAAAGGATATGAACTTTGGTCCTGGCATACATATTTTAGTAGAAGTATTAAAGTACAAAACAGTCACGTATTATGCATCATGATGAATGCAGCCGTAACAGCGTCCTCTGGAGTTTGTTTATTGCCTCCATCTACAAGGGCTTTGGGTGGGGGTGGGGGTGGGCTTGTTTATCTTTGATTGTTGAACATTAATGTGTACAAAACATGTTTTTATGTTTCTATTGTTACCAACCACTGACAAATTTCCTCACTTTTATTTTTGTCTATCTTTAGCTTCTGTTAGCTCCAGGGCATTGTCAACAAACTAATAGTTTTTACTGATCTGGTTTCTCCACAGTTTATCCAGATCTCTGTAACATCAGCTTGGCAGCAGTGGGTGACACACAGAAGCACGAAGACCGCATTGCATTCTGGGACGATGTCTATGATTTTAACATGTCATGCATGAAGAAGGCTGTGGTGCCTGAGGCTGTGGTTGAAGTTGTGAGAGCAGAAACTCTCATCTCGGAACCTGCGGTCATTCAGGTAAAACACAAAGTCTGGTGTCATCATTTCATTTTTCTGAAGTCAATAAATTAATAAGAAACATAATTTTATATGTATAAGTGTATATATATGTATTTTATATATGCACATTATAGATTTGGCTTCATAGAATACTGTATATGTTAGAATAGCTACAATTATCACAATACTTTCTGCTCTAAACAGCATTCAACTTTTTATTTTGGATCATTTACATTTACACATTTAGCAGACACTTTTATCCAAAGTGACTTACAGGAGGAGGATCAACAGTCAAGCATGTGGTTCCTCTGGGAATCGAACCCAGGACTCTGCTCTCTGCTTCCAAGTCAGGCGTGCTAATTGCTACACTGTGGAACTACCACTAAGTGTAGCTTCAATAGGGGTCAATTACAAAAACATCATCATTCAGCAAACAAGAAATTACAGCTCGAAAATGAGAGGGAAAAAAAATCATTTTTAATTACGGAGGTCTTCTTAAACACACTGAACTATGTTCGTAAGAACTGTTGGGCTCCACAGAGAAGGAGAGTGCTTTGGTATTTGACAGAAAGGAAGAGAACGGAGAGCCAGAGCCCTGAGGGTGTGTGTGTGCGCGTGTGTACATACACGTGTGTGTGTGTGTGTGTTGTGTATGCACTGGTGATTGATCTGTCTAATCCTTGTTTAAGTTCCTCTTAAGGAAACTTCATTACTCTCAGCCTCCTGTGGATAGAGCAGTTTTCACTGAGCTGATGGGCGAGCACACACACTCTGTTAGTGTAGATAGAGAAAACACACACACACACACACACTCATCCCCAGCTCCACATCCAGGAGCACAGATAGCTTTTTTGCCTCTCTTTGTATTGAGACCATCTTCTCTCTCGTTTGCCCATGGAAGTGTGCGTTTCCACTGTTGATCTGCCTTTTCGCAGAGTAGCCTGTCCTCCGTCCATCCATGTGTGGATGTGATGAATGAGGAGAGAACTTGATATAATGGAATTTGAATCATCTAATCAATAGTTTCTCCCCTCCAGTGACAAATAGACAGCCCCTCTGCCCAAATTACACCCACTCTCATCTATTGCCGTTCTCTGATACGATCCAATAACATTCTATTAAAGCTAGCTGCTTTTCCGTAAAATTGAGAGTCCTTATATGGAATTATGCTTCCTGCAAAACAGATGAGCCAGTGTCCTCGCTGAGAGGAGATAGTCCTGGGTTGTTGAGCTTCAGCAGTGCAACCAAATTACACTGATTAAAACCTGTCGTGTTCTGAGTCTCAAGTTTATCCCTAACATGACGTGCTTTTATTCAGAGCTGACAAAACATTTTTTATTGTCACATATTTTTAATGCAACTTGTGAAGAGGAGACATTTCTCAGGGCCTCTGTGACACTTGTGTAAGACTCATGTTGGGATTTCAGATTTTTGCCACAAAACCAGCTCCTTGGACTCCTCCAACAGGGGACATTAACTTTATGTCTGTGTAACTCATACAGTTTGGCTGTTTGTTTTCAGCTCTAATGATCCTCAACAACCATGGTCTCCACCACTCCCCCTCATCCTTAGTCGTGGTGTTAAGTCTTGTAACCGCCACACAGACTGACAGTCCACATTAGTCAGTGTTTATTGTGTGTTAAAAAATATCTAATTTATTTTCTTAATTCTATTTTTGAAGGTAACTATGAATGATGGAGCATCATAAACCATTTTACAAAACACACATTTTTAGAGAACCTGGTACTTTAAAACTTCAGTCTCTACAGTTTTAATGATTTTAATATTTTGTTTGATTGATATTCTTTAAAATTTGATACCCATGACATTTCAAACACTAAAGTTACCTGTGGATTTTATTTTTGTGATTAAAAACTGTACCTTACATATTTGTGACCCACTCAGTCCACTCACTTGTCATAATTGTTTCCCAGTCAGACAATCGTCACAGCTCTGTCAGGGCTTTTATCCAAATTACTGTCATGTTGCCAGAGCACAGTTTTTCAAACTGCATTTTATATATAAAAAAATCCAACTTGTGATTTGTGTCTATGTTTAACTCCTAACAGACCATAGACTGTAACACAGTCTGCCTGTCTGAGCTGGAGTTTTCATCAGACTTCTGCCTAAGGATGACAAAGACTACAGACTGCACGGTAAGTGCTGACACATAAAAATACACAATTGTGAAATATCTTATGTTGTACTACAAGGAATACGCACCTTTTGACACTAGGTCTGAATCCTGCAAATGTCTTTTAAAGTATCTTACTTTTTAGAGTTCTAAATATCTGCCATCATTTTTATTTTTTGTTGATTAATTTGACAATTTTAATTGAACCTATCTATTATACATTTGTTGCTACAGCAATACATTACCTGGGAGAAAATGTCTGAACAGTCACTGATACATCACTTATTATTTTGAGATATAGCACAGAGGGAAAAAAATGGAAAGAGCCAAGACATTAGTCATATCATGTTGATAAATAGTTTCTGTATTTGATAGGATGTCTGTCACTGTAGGATCAAATAGAGTCTCTAATGGAAAAAAGGATCGGAGGAGATGATAGGAACTTGAATTGCATGTCATGAAACGTTGAATGTTCTCTGCTTGTTCGCCCTGTCAGTCAGTATTTGGACTTCAGCAGGTTTCAGTCTTTCATTGCTAATTTGATCTTGTAACATAGCACACTATGTTCTTGTGCCCTGATTCTCCGAAGATCAAGCTTGCACAGTTTTATCATTGAAAAGGAGTCGTAGCGTGACTCATCTGAAACCTACCCTCTACCTCTGACACTGGCTGTGGAGGTCAACGCAATATTTCTTGGCACAGAAATTAAGTGTGTGTCCTCACTAAGGGTCAGCTGTAGTCACTGAAGCATGAGGCATGAAGCATGGTTTATGAGTTTATTTAGAGGAGCTTCTGTCAAAATATCCACCGCCATCTCTGAGCTTTCAAGCTGCTGCCTTCAGAATAGCCTCACTGTAGGTAGTGATGTGATCTGTTTAAAAAAGAAAAAAAGAAGGGGGGGGGGGCATTGTTCGGAGCAGTTCCTTTCTGCACTGCAGTGCTACTGCACAGTCTGAGGTATTGGTTTAATGGTTAATCAATAGGTGGTTATTATCTGGCCTGCGCTCCACGGGTTTGGCCGGTGGATTCATTTAATGGGATTTGTAAACATCCTCTCATTTTTTTCCTGTCCTCTCTGTGCTGTAATTGAAAGAAACCAGCTGCCAGTTTGACTTTTTCCTCCTGTGTAAATCCAGTCGAGTTGGACCTGTTCAATCCATACATCTGTGTGTTGTTTTCACACTGCGTGGTGTTACATGATACTGTATCCTGCCTGAGATTTACAGATGGATTGTTGACGTGCAGGAGATCAGGCTGATGTAACTATAAAGATAGTAATCTGGAGTCAGCAGAGACTGCTGTGTCTCAGCGGTAGTTGAGGTTAGCATGTGTGAAGGGTAAACTGCTCCTGGACCAGTGGATTGGTGAGGAAAAGCTGCTGCTTCTCTCAGCCTGTGATGGAGCGCCAGCTTTTGTGCTCTGGTCGACAGTTCATTCATCAGCTCAGCCTGCCTAACCTTGCATTAAATGAACAGCACAACCCCTGCGTCTGTGCCGTTCATGCCCAAGACAAATTCTCTCGCTCTTGCTTTATTTTATCCCTCCTCTGCTCGCCTCCTTTTTACATTTCACATGCTCCCTGCCTTGTACATATTGTGTCTGCCTTTGCAAACCGTGAAGTCATGTGCAGAGTATTTGAAGTGTGCAATGCATCCAAAATGACTGTGGAAATGAACTTTTAGAAGTATTTGTTAATACATTTAAAAAAAGTGGAACATTGCCGTGGTGCAGGTGTTCAGACAACACCAAGGGTTCTTCACATTTTTGAAACCTGTCTTTGCATTGCAGTAAATTAGTGTAAATGAAAGGAAGGAACAAATAAAAAACTGATGGTTTTATATGTATGTATATATACATGTATATCTGTGTATGTATGTATGTATGTATGCATATATGTATGTATTTATGTATGTATATAAATATAAAACCACAACCACAACACATCTTTTAGTTGATTTACTAATTCACATAACGCTCCAAAGCTCCAATATTCTATAAGGAATTAAAAATTCTATTCTTTTTGGATAATTCAGCTTTTCTGGGTCATGTTGCTTTTATCACATCTCACCCTTCAATGCTGTATAAAGACAATCATGCTGGTTTGTTATTTTGCCTTGTGCCACTAACCTAAACACCTCCCCCGGATTGCCTAGTTTTACATCAAAAAGTTGCTGACTGAGTGCAGGCACAGAATTCTCACCAAACATGCCTCTGTGCCTGCACCTTCTGCTAACTTAACGGAAATTAAGTAAGAAATGTTAGGCGTTTACGTAAGGCATTTTTTCGGTTGCTTTAGGCTCATGGTGAGGGAGACGCACTTGATGCCGTTTTCTCATCGTGTTTCAATTCAATTATGATTTTTTTTATTAGATCCTCTGAACCTGAACAAAGCTCAGTGATGCATTTAGTAACAGTTGTTTTTTTTATTCTGCATCTCTGCACCTTTTTTACTGACTGTTACAGGGCAGTAGTCCGACTCCTCATGAATGAATGAGGAACACCAATGGGAGGGGAGCTTCAGCGGAGGCTGATCCATGCTCCACCTGCCGCCGGGTTAAGAGGCTAGCAGTAGAGATATAGGAAGTAAAGGGTTGGGGGTGGGGGGGCTCACAAATCGGCTGTTGATGTGGTCGTCCTATAAAACTCTACGCCTGGATAACCCCCATCAAAAGTGTATTAGCTTCACTCCGTCCCACCCTCCTTTCTCCCCTTCAAAGACCCTCCCTTTCCTTTTCCCCATGGCCCCCACCCCACGTTCGTATAATAGTATCTAGCCCGGCCATGCGGCTCGCTGACACATAGCCAGGCAAAAGGGGAGCAATGATGAATTGCTCCCTGTTGGTGTTATCCATGATGATCATTATTAATTTTCCCGCCGCTCCTCTAGGAAGATGGGGGCCAGAATTTCAGCGTTGTTGAACCTCCTCCACGAGCCGTCAGGAGGCCCACAGTCATCACTTATCACAGACAGAGCCGCGGCCCAAGGCTAAACGCTGATGAGAATGTGATCTGTTCTGTTGTTTGTTGTTGGTCTTTGATCTAAGTTTCCCCCCGTTTTATTTCTTTCTTTGTTTGGTCCTGACTAACACTTGTTTTTTCTTCACATTGGGTTCATTTACACTTCACTTAATATAGTTCTTAATTGGTAATAATATAAGTTTAAAAGTTATATTGATTAAAATATAATAATTACATTATATTCATGAATATAGTGGTAGAAGATGTGTCAGTTACTGAATTTGATTATATGATCTTTTTTATGTCTAAACTTAATAAAAGGTAAAACAAATTACATAATAATATAAAATAATAATATACAATTTTACTGTTGAAGACAAACCCATCTTCCATCAAAGTCAATACATTTTTACATTAAAATAAAAATACCTAAGTTGGTAAAACCTTTGAAATTGTATTTGACAGGCAGAAGGACAAAATAAAATACAAAACTAATTAGCAATTGCATTGCTAAATGTGAAGTTATTCCAAACTGTATTCCTGCAAAACAATTCAGAACATTGTGTCATATTAACTCAGTAAAACGATTGTGTCCACACATTGTTTCCTTAGTGGTTGACAGTGTAATAATGTCTAGTACAGAAATGAGGTTTTTTCATACATGAAACTCTACCTGTTCTTCTGTTGAAATGATGACCTGATGTCTTTGTGGGCTGGTTTCACTCACTGGCCTACATACATGTTTCTTCACACTTCTGTGTGAAAGTTGCACAATGCAACAGTGACAATCAATCTCTCTAGCTGTCACACGATGAGGGCGATGTCTGCCTTTCCACTGGAGCGAGG